TGGAATGACCAGAGATCTTTAAACCCAGGAACTGAGCTCATGGAGGTGGGGACGATGACAGGGGGACCGAAGAACATTTCCTGAGGAAATGAGTTTAAATTGAGTTCAGAAAAGGCAAATAGGCGTTAGTGGGTAAAGAGGTTTGTGGAAGAGAACCAGCCTATGCAAAGGCCCTGAGGCTGCAGGGGACGTTGCTTACCCAGGGGATGGGAAGCCAGGGCTCTAGGGTCAGGCCTATCAGGGCTCTGACTGCCATGATAGTTTAGATTTTGTTTTGAGAGCAGCGGGAGGCCTTTGGAAAGTTTTGATCAGGGAAGAGAGGCTGTAAGTTCACCCTGGCTGCTGAATGAGGAACAGGTTGGAGGGGGCAAGACTAGAGGCAGGAACACTGCCTGTTAGGTTGGTGGAAGGTCCAGGTAGGGGAAAGGGTGCCTGGGCCAAGGTGGTGGCAGTGCAGGAGGAGAGGAGGACGGTCTGGAGGTCCTCAGGTGTGAGGAAGGGTGCACAGTGTGTGTAGCAATGGACAGGAGGTGCCCCCAGCCCCCCATGGAGCCTGGGTGGACAGAGTCCTGTCGCCCATCTGAACGAGTCCTGAGGACCTATCTGAAAGAGACAGGCCGAGCAGACGACTGCAGACTGGGGGCGTCCTTAGCCTCCTTCAGAGGACAGCCGGGAGAAGGGTGGGACAGACAGGCTTCCTGAACCTTGGTGTTGTCCCCATGGCACTCTGGCCCCCAGCAGGCTTGTGTGTTTCCCCCGCGAGGCTGTGCCTGGCTCCTCCAGCTCCTTCGAGAGCAGTCGGGTGAGTCCCTGACTTGAGGATTCGGAACTCCAGATCCAACCCTGGCTCTACCCCCAAATCACTCTGTGATTTGTCCTTTATTTAACCTCCCGAGTCTCCGTTTTAGAAATGGGGATGATAATACAACCTACCTCCTGGGATTGTTTTAAGACTTACAGTGCTAAGGGCCGCCCTCACGCACGGCCCACCGCGTGCGGAGCCTGTGGGAGCAGTGTACAGGCATCACATTTCATCTGCACAGACCCTGTCACCAGCACCATTGTGCAGATGAGAACATGGAGGCTCAGAAACCGTGGTTGGCTCAGTAATTACATAAAACCTCTGGAGCCCACTGGGCCCTGGGGCGCTCCGTAAGATGGGTTCCTCCCTGCTCCCCGCAAGGCTAAGCCCCCCCTTACTCTCTGTACCTGCAGCTTCACTCCTGACCCCTGTGCTCCCCCTGAACCCTCCCGTCCTCGGGGACCTGCCCCATCTGCTGTCCCTCCTCTCTCCACTGGATTGGCACCCTCTTCCTCTCTGCTGGCTTCTTCCCATCAGCATTTAAACATTGTCTTTAACTTCTTAGAAAAGAAAAAATGTAAAAAATCTCCTCCAACCCTCAGGCTCTCCAGGTGCCATATTTTCTTTATCTTCCCCGTTCACAGCCCGTCTTGTTTACTTGGTCACTTAACTCCTCTCTCCACTTCTTCACCTCACACTCCCTCCTCGGCCTTCTTTGGTCTGGCGTGGGCACCCACCACGCCACTGACCCAGCTCTTGATGAGGCCTCCACCAATGCCACGAGCACTGTTTTGTGCCTGGTGCTTTGGAATCAAACAGGCTTGAATTCCAGTCTCGGATGTGCCACTCATTGGCTGTGTGACCTGGGACAAGTGACTTGACCTTTCTGAGTCTGTAATTGGGGGTAATCATGACGAAGGACTAGATGAGATAAAGTACCTGGTGCAGAGTGCGTGCTTAGCGAAGTACTGTCGTCATTGCACACACACGTTTCGGTGCCAGGGACCCGGCCAAGCCTGGATGCACCCACACTGAGCAGGTGGACTGAAAGGTCATTTCCCACGGTATTAGCCTTCCTGGAGCTGTTCATTGGCCTGATTAATAGGAAATGGATCCTCTGTCAGGATTAACGAGGTTTTGCTATGTCTTAGTAAAGGCTGAGTTTCTCTGGTCCTGTGACCCTGGGTGGTGGGATTCACAGGGACTGGTGCTCCAGGTGGGCTCCTGGTGATGTGGGCCTGGCAGTACAGGGCCTGGACCCCCTCCTCTCTCTGCCTCCCCGCCTCCCTGTGGACACTTCGGGGAGACATCCAGGCTGTCAGAAGGCAATAATCCTATCCTTGGGGGCAGGGTGAGGGGGCAGATTTACAGGAAAGCATTCACCTGGGAAAACGTCCAGAGACACTTGGGAGGTGGAATGTCTAGACCTTTGGGAGTGCTGGTATGTGGGGGCCGGAGGAGAGGAGGAGTCATGGTTTCTCGCTTGAGCCTTGGGGTAGATGAAAGTACCATCACTGAGGTGGAAAGCAGTGTGGGAGAAACAAATCTGGGGGAGATGCTGGGGCTGTTCCTAGCAGCTCTCAGCATGCCTTTGTCCGAGAGCTTGGAATTGATGGGGGATGGGAGACAGATGTGTAGTAGTTAAAGCATGGACTCCAGACTCAGAATACCTGAGTTCAAATCTCAGCTCCACCACTAACCTGCTGTGACACGTTGGGCAAATCCCTTAACCTCTCTGTGCCTTATTTTTCTTTATAAGCAGAGGTCATTATAGCGCCCACCTTATATGCCTACAGCTGTTTGAAGTGTGCCTGGCACATAGCACTGTATGAGGGTTAGGTGTTATTTCTCCTGTAGGTCTTTTTTTGCCACGACCCCATCCCCATGACTGCCACCTAGTGTTGGCCATGTCTGTAGTGACCGTCTTGTGCTGACTTGGTGTCTCCCTCTCTCCAGGCAACCTGTGCTTCGTTAAGGTTCCTGAGGACCATACTGGGCTGTCAGGAGGGGTGGCCTCCTTCGTGTGCCAAGTCACGGGGGAACCAAAGCCATGGATCACATGGCTGAAGAATGGGGAAGATAGCCAGCTCCAGCGTTTTGAGGTGGGTCCTTCGGGG